CAGTGAATCCAAAGCCTTCCTGTTAATAGAAACATGTGTTCATAAGACTTTGCTTTTTAACCAACAAATTACAGATTGTTTGAGCAAAAGAAGAGATATAACTGACAAGACTGGACTGGAATTAACTATAAGTTGAATACCATCATAAAGAAGCGTAAAACACTTTTACTAACACTTTCTATTCACACTTTTCAAAATTAGTCCTATAAAACACAATCGCTGGTGGCAACAGGTGCTTTAGGGTTAGGTAGTATGTTAGCTTAGCATAGCGACAAAACACGACAATTAATGAGATTACTACAATGTTATTGCTCTAAACTCTCTCTATTATGTCAGTCGAGTGTTTGAAAGAGCAGAAACTAGCGTTATGCTAAACTATGCGATTGTTTTATTTAGTAATGATGTTAGCTAGCTAGCAGTTACAACAACGTTAAATAATTAACAGTAATTTCCAATTGTGCTCAAGTTTTTACGTGAAAAACAGCTTTGTGAATCTCTGAACTATTGAAAACATTTTCGCTGAAACATCACTCACTGTGACCGCACGCAAGTTAACTTTAATGAGGTTATGTGATTAATATGAACGTCAATGTACAGTATAATGAGTCAAGCAAACAAGAATCAAACTATCGAAATGCACACGGACCAAAGTATTACAAATCAGAAACCTAAAACAGAAAGGCAAACTTACCTTAAACACGAGAAAATCCTCATGCATCTTCTCAGTGACAAGCCCAACCGTCCCTCTGATTCAAAGCGTGGGTCCAAACACGTATTTGCAATGTACTATTAAAACAGGTAATATATTACAAATACAATAAAGTATAATTTTTTTCACTAGGGTATGCTAAACAAATGGACCTTGTTACAATCAGTACAATCACGCACCTCCTCCTATTCAATTTACACCTAATAAAAACAATGCAGAAAGCAAAACAGCTTGATGTAAATAATTGAGATGACCATTATTATTGTTGCTCTCGATAAGCTCCTGTTGAGATTTGTCATATTAGTAGTATTTGATTGTAGCAACCAACTTTAAAACATACATTATGAACTTGGTTAAAATAGTGAAGATAAACTATGGTTTAATTAAACCTTTATAATTAGCAGAGAAGCTTGAAGAATGCAGTCATTGTGTAACTGGCTTTAGTACTAAAATAAAACAGGATACTGCTTAGCAACACTTGACACTTGTATGTGTAGATGCTGATTGGCTGGTTGTTTCAGATATTCACCTCATGAACAAAGTATTGCAGGATATCTCTTCAGTTGGGACAGTCACAGTGAGAGAAAATGTCACTGCCGAAGGTCTTGTGTTTTCATCTCATATTGATGCTGTCTGCATTCACTGGAGCAGGTAAATAAAATTAAGCGTCATGTAAAATGAGTAGATATATATCGACAGTAACATTCGTCATGATTAATTATTATTAATAGTAGAAGTAGTAATAAACAAGACAGTTCACTAATACTGTAACCAACTAATGTATCTAAGTCCTTCTTTTTTTCTGTAGTTGACATGAAATCATCTGACATAACTGTAATGCTGTTTTAACATTTCTTTTCAGCTAATGGATACTACAATTCTCGGTGGGCTAAATGCATCTTCAGCTCCAGTGATCTCAGTGACATGGTGTTCGTTGATAACTATATCTTCAATAAAGATGTGTACATACAGTTCAACAGCACTGTGGGGGAGTATGTGGGGTACACTGCACATGGAGTATATAACGCAGACTTATGGAACAAAAATCCCAGCCAGCTGCAGCAAGAGAGAGCTGAGGTGGACAGATACTGCAAACCTAATGCTGAAATTTATTACAGTGCCATTTTAAACAAAGCAGGTAAGTGGCACAAAATTCTGATCTCTCCTGTTACACATGAAACTCTTGTTTTAAATGTTTACACTAGATACTTTTACACGACAGTTTGATAATTTTATATATTTTTTAAAAACTTCAACTGACAGTCTTCAACTTTTTAACTGACATATTAAAATGTCACAAGATAAAAAACAACAACAAATGATTGTTTTAATTTTTGTTTGCCCTTAGAAATACACTCCCAAACACAAAAATACAATAATATTTATGAAACTTTATAGTGCACCTTGCATGTAATCACAATATTTATTGTGGGATGTGCCCTTAAGATGTTATTGTTATTGATTCAGTGCCACCAAAGGTTAAACTCAGTTCAGGGACGCAGGCTGGTGGCAGACATCCAGCTGTGTTGATGTGCAGCGCTTATGACTTCTACCCAAAAAGAATCAAAGTGTCCTGGATGAGAGATGGTAAAGTTGTGACCTCTGATGTGACCTCAACTGAGGAGCTGGCTGATGGGGACTGGTACTACCAGATTCACTCCCACCTGGAGTACACCCCCAAATCTGGAGAGAAGATCTCCTGCGCGGTGGATCACGCCGGCTTAACTAAACCCATCATCATAGACTGGGGTAAGACGAAACATTTATTTTCCTTCACATAAGACTTATATAAATGACATATTTTGACAAACAAAATTAAGATTGAATAAAAATATGTAAAGCTCCAGTAATTACATTCACACATGCTAGGCCAATATTGAACACTGTAAATATTCAAATAAAAAGTGGTTTCTGTATCTCATAGATCCATCTCTCCCTGAGTCTGAGAGGAATAAAATCGCCATCGGGGCGTCTGGTCTGGTGCTGGGAATCATCATCGCAGCTGCTGGACTCATTTATTATAAGAAAAAATCATCAGGTCAGTGAAGATGAGAGCAAATCAAGCTGATACTCATCTGTTTAGACATAATGTCTCTATTCAAGTTCTTTATTAATCACTTTTCTTATTTTGATAGGGAGGATCCTGGTACCAACTTAATGATGGTAAGTTTTTAATGAATACTTTGGAAACTGAAACTGTTTGTCATAATAAAATAAATTATTACTGCATTGTTACAATGAGTCACATAATAATCATATACATTACAGATCAGACTGACTGGAAGAGGATTCAACTTGACTCATCGATAGAGAACTCACTTTCTGAACTTCACACTGATGTTTCATTTTTAACAATGAAAACAATTTTGGAAAATGAAAACAGTAACAAATCTAATACATATGTTTGATATTTGTAATTTTTTATTGAATGTTGATGATGATATAATGATGTGTAAAATATAGAGATTTTATAGAGAGAAGTAGAGATTATCATTCTTGCTGGCTTCTTTTCCAGTACATTTACTGAATTAACATGCATATAGCTTCATAGCGTTAGGACACACTCTAGGTCTTTGTTATTAATGGCACTCTGAAGTCTTTTAATTATCATTATTTTACTCTTATTTACCATTAAAATATATTAGAATTAAATTTGTGCAGTCTTATATGAAATATATTTGATGGGAAAAAAATTATTTAGCATAAATTAGACCATCAACAGATTTCAGATGTTATTCTTCCTTCTAATTCATTCTGACAATAATTCTTCTGTATGATTTGATGACTAAAATATCCACGTTTTTTTCTTCAGAAACCAACTGAAACATTTCTTGTTTCTGTGCTGTATGTTCATTTCAGCTATAAATAAATGTCTTTACATAACAGTTTGCTTGTAACATTTCTCAGTATTCAGAATACTTTTTAAAACTCCTAACGCAGTTGTTTTTTCTAAAATATAGCCACACTCAGCAGTTCATCTTTCTTCCAAAATGCCATAAAAACACTTAATTTACACCTGAAAATAAACTCATTCTATACCACAATATAGAAAACATTCTCAGCCATCGTAACAAAGACCTGCATGGCTACATTACAAAATCTTTAAAGTTTTATCTGAATAATCTTCGATTCCTTTATAAAAACAAATGAATGACAGCACTTTTTGGGTTTCATGTTTAGGGTAAATTACAGATTTTGTATTTTAGCTTTTTCAACATGCAAACAAAGAAGATTCTTCTCAAATTCTAAAACTATAAAACAAAAAATCATGTGCCTACATCATATCAATCTGTAAACATAGATTGATGTGTATAGCAATGCTAGTCAACTCGGCCTTCTTCATTAGGTCACATAATCTCATCTACATTACTCCACAAATGTCCAACTCTGGCAGTCTTCTGCAGATATGTCCAGACATCAATCATATATTCTAAAAGGGATACATAATTTAGGCAGTGGTCATTTACTTTCCACCCTCATGAGGACATTAATTCCTCTTTGGCTTTAAACCCAGCTATCAATTAAGTTGTGAAGACATAACCGGACTGGACCATATGGTGCGTTCAAGTCCTCCTGGGAAGTTTGTATTTAGTAGTTGACGACATCAGGGTGTTCAGGTCACTTTGGTCAGAGCAAAATTCTACATAAAATTCAAGATTTTTTAAACTGCATCTACAAAATGATGAATAAGGACTGTGTATCGAGTTTTTGCTTTTTCTGTTTTATTCAGTTAATGAAGGTACTATAAACTGAATCATTATATATTCTATCGTAATTGTACAATACAACTAGATAATTTTATTCTATATGTCAAAAAAAAAAAATTCCTTCATTTAAAAAATGTACCATCAATACAGGCACTGCATATGCTATAGTCTTTGGCTGTGTCCATCCAACATCCGACATGGTTTCTCACTGACATGCCCCCAACTCGGAAACTCAGGCCTTAAATTTTCCCACTCATAATTACGACTTTGTGATGGTGTTCATTTGAGATCAACTGGTAAATATGACATGACTTAAATGCACCAATATTCGTTGCAGCAACGTATTTGTTTTGGTGATGTTATAGTAGTAGATTGCTGGAACGTGATGAGGACGTCTCAATGACCAAAATACCACGTCTACCATTATTTTTAATATCTACTTGTCACCTTTAGTCCGGGCCATGGGGATGTGCTCGGGTCATTATCTTGAAATCCATATGGAACTGATAAACTAGTAAACATTAAAAAAAAATTCTGTAAAATAAATAAAAATAAATTCTAATGGTTTAATGGTTATTAGTGAATACCTTTAGGGATCAATACATATATGTAATGGAAACCAATACAAAACCCTATAAAATTCTAATAGAAAATGGCCAAAACCACAGTGCATTCATTTATTAATCAGCATTTATTCTGTTACTTTGTCCATATACTAAGCCAAAATATTTTGAACCATGTAAAGTGTGTCCAAATCATGAGTACAGAAAACTGAAAACATCAATTCAGAAATTAAACACTATAATCAATGAATAATGTAACCAATGATTAAAATGTTTTGTTTTTATTAAAAACGTATGGTGTGTCATCAATGCCTAATCAAGGCCCAGGTGCCTAATGTCTCATCATTAGGGATGGGTATAGTTTTTTTTTTGAACAATTTGTTTATTGAGATGTAACAAATTATGCCAGTATATTACAACAATATTATACAATAAAATAGTTAGATCTCTTTTACAGAATAACAATAAATTAAACGACAATAAAGGAAAAACAACTAACAAAAAAATAAAATAAATAAAATGATTTTTTTAATATAAAAAAAAAAAGAAAAAAAAAGGGCACAGGTCAGTTCAGATAGCTACAGACTAAGAAGAGTTGAAAATAGTCATACAAGAAGCAAATCATATACAAGGGGGTAATTTAGGAAAAACAATAAATGGTCAAGTGACTAATGATTTGGTAGTAATAAAATGAGGGTAGAAATACGTTGAGAATCAAGATATTTTATCTCTTTCAACCTCACTTATTATATTACTAAAATCTGAGTTTGAGATAAAGGATATAAAGGGTTTCCAAATATTCTAAAATAAGGACAATTTACCTTTTAAAATATATGTAATCTTTTCCATTGACAAACAAAAAGACATATTATTGCTCGACTGACAGTCCCAGAAAGTTATAAGGAGCGAGACACTATAAAATAACACATAACATCACAAACTAATGTCATATTAAAACATTTATTTCAGATTATTATAGACAATAATTTAATAGTATTTATATTCTTCTTCTTATTTTACCATATGTATTTGTAAAAATGAGTACATGCTTAGTATATAACAAAAGGGTGTTAAAGGGGTCATATGATGCAATTTCAATTTTTTTCTTTTCTTTAGTGTGTTATGTAGCTATTTGTGCATGTATAAGATCTGCAGAGTTACAAAGCTCAAAGTCTCTAGGGTTAAGAGCTCAGGAATGTGGATTATGTATTCAGTCTCTAGGTAAACTAATCAATGGCTGTGTTTTTTTTTTTTTTATGAAATGCCAAGCCTCTGAAACTGAACCATAGAGTGAGCTTATTGTCAGCATTCTGTCTGATGAGTGAGCCAAACCACATACACAAGACCACAGATGGAGTATCAAATATATAACCTATATATGTTTTTTTTTTTTTAAAGATCAAATGAAATTAAACTTTACCATATAAATCATAAGCCTGATTAAAAAGAGTTATTTATTTATTTTTAAATAATGTATATCTCCATAAATATGACAGTAACATTCACATGATTAATAGTTTCTTATACCCATGTGACTATTTGGAAATCTCCACTATTTATAGATATTATTGATATTTTTGTGTAACCTACACTAGATACAATTATGCTTCATCTTTTATGAAGGCCCTTTGAAAGAAAGCAGACTTTAAAAAAAGACAACTTCAATCAACCTAGAAACTGGTGACATGTAAATCTTTCCGTCCTCTCATTGGTAGATCATTGGCCGAGGAAACTTTCCCAAACTGGTTTGTGGCTGAAGTTTCATGTGACTGATGCTACCAAATGAAACTGAAACTGAAAGATTCTTTTTATTTTACAGAACCATGGAAATTTCAGTTTACCTAGTGACTAAATACATAACAAGATGTCTCTCTTGCAACTGGATGGTTTTGGAAAGTGGTTCAGGAAAGACATGTCACAACTAGTCAATGGCTGTGGTTTTGTTTGTGAAATGCCAAGCCTCTGAAACAGAACCATACAGTGAGCGTATTGCCAGCATTCTGTGAGAAATGTCAGTGTGTTTACTAAAAATGACTGTTTCTTTCACATGATTAATACACTTTCTTATAATCATGTGACTATTTTATGAGGAAGTATCACAAACCTAAATTATTGGTGCAGGTTTAGCTGTGTTTATGGCAGTCATGGATCTCTGGGGACTTTCCAACATTAGTTTAATATGATTCTAGAGATAACATACTGAAAAAAGTTATTTTGCAGGAACCCTCAAGCATCAGTTTGACAATAGGCCTAATGATTTGCCAATCTGATAAAATAAAAAAAATCCCCTTTAAATTCATAATGTAATCTTAACAATAATTTTAGTGTTTTGATGAACAGATATGCCATAGAACAGAATGTTTTATTCTGAGATTCTACAATGTTGCAATGCAAATCTGTTTGTTTTACATAGAAAACCTTTAAATCAAATACCATCTATTTATAAAAACAATTACTTTGAGACAAACTACTAGACTGCCATCTTCCATTCATTCATTCATTTTCCTGACCACTTGTCCTCTAAAAGGTCAAAGAGTTGCTGGAGCCTATTCCAACCTTTCAGGCCAAAGGCAGGAAAATCC